TGGCCCTGGGCGGGGCGGCGCCTCACAGCCCCAGCCGCGTCCCCTGCACCAGCCCCAGCCCACGTCCCATCCCCCACCGCAGCCCTTCGCCTTCCCAGCGCCTTCCCGCGCCGGCCTTTCTTTCCCGCTTTCCCCGGGAGAAACATGGCCGGGAGCAGCGAGGAGGCGCCAGACTACGGGCGAGGCGTCGTGGTAAATGCGAACACCGGGTTTCGGGCCGAGCTGTGCGCTCCCCTCCCCTCCCGGCACCCTCCTTTTAGATGAACTGCCCGGCGTGCGCTGGGCGAGAGCGGCCCCCGCTTTGTTCTCCCCTCCCCGCGGGGATCGCGTCTAACCACAAACCCGCTTCTCTCCTCCCCTTCCCCCTAGTCTGGTGAAACGCCTCGTTCCGGCCCTTCACCCCGCGTTCTCAGCGTGGCCCCTCCGCCCCCAGTTGGGACCCGCCACGCCAGCGTCCGTCCTGCATCGTGCCAGGTCCCCACCCTGCAAGCCACCAGGAGCGACGCTGCCAGCCTGGCGGTGCAGACCGCAGCGTCGACTTCGGGGGCTCGCCTTTCGGCGCCTCCTCCTGACTCTAGTGCGGGCTCTGAGCTGTTTTCACAAAGGATGCTGGGTTTCTCGAGGGCAGTCAGGAAAGGCAGTAGCTCCAGTGGGCCGACTAGGAGACCTGGGTGGGGGTGCTCGGCCTGTGGGGCCGCAGCCCAGGTTCTGGGACACGCTGCCTGGTGGCTCTGCAGAGCCCCACACCCGGGAGAGGTGTCTGGCTGGCCCGCTGAGCGAATTGGAGAGGACCTGTGTCCAGGCAGCAAACTGTGGGGCGGTGGGTTCCCAGACTCTGCTTCTTTACCCCTGGGAATCCTTGAGGTGTCAGCCAGAGGGTACCCATCTCTCCAACCTTGGGATAGAATCCCATCTTGCCCTGTGGCCTACGGTGTGGTTTCTGTGGAAGGTTGCGATCTGCCCGTGGCAGGTTCATCGTGAACCGGTAGGGAGCGTGGCAGGTGGGGCTAATTTGCCATTGCTCTCCTCTCTACAGTCTGCGTGTAATTCACAGATGATCTGCTTATGAATATGAATGGCCTGAATTAGACTAAGTGGGTTGGGGACAAAAACACCTGGCACTCGAACAGAGCTGCTGAGGAGGAAATGTGTCCCACTTCTTCGTTTCACAGCGCTTGTGATTCAAGGGTGAGGGTGCAGTTACCTATTCTTTTCGCATGTGTGTCCCGGCCCACTGGGTTCCAGGAGGTGCTCTAGGCCCTGCGAATCCCTCATGGAACCTGCAGTCCAGAGGAGGGATCCAGGCATGCAGCCCCAGAGCAAAAACAACAGAGACACTTTCACAGAGTGGGAGGATAGCAGGGTAGACAGTCATTGGAGGGAAGGGAACAACGCTCTTGCTCAGGTGACAGGATGGCCTCTGTGGGGACATTGGAGTCGAGATCAGAGGAGTAAACAGGAGTGGGCATGACAGGACACCAAGGCAGAGGCCGTGCACCCAATGCAAAGGCTTGGTTACATCTGGTTGTATGCTTTTACAAAATCACTCTGGTTGCCATGGGGAGGATGCACAGGACTCAGGGTGGGGTGAGTGGGAAAATGATCATGTGAAAAGAAAACACTAAGTTCGGCCCTGGACAGATTAAGACTGTGGAACCCAGGATGCACTGTAGGCAATTTGAAGTCTGTAGTTGGAGTTCAGGAGCATGATAGGAAAGATTGGGAAATCATCAGCAATAAGAATAATAGTGTTTGTTTGAGAGTAGATGAAAACACTCAGTGAAAATGGGGCTGGTGTGTGTGTGTGTGTTGGGGGCGGGCGCCCCAAACCAAAAGCACAGCTGTTAAGGAGAGAAGCCCCCAATGTAAGAGGCAGACTGTGGGTGAGAGCAGACAGGCTGATCCGTGCCTAGGGAGCAGTGTTGTGGGGTCAGGGGTCAAGACTGTCGGATTCTGCAGGAACAGAACGCAGGATAAAAGAGGTCACCCCTTCAAACAATGACAAAGCCATCCACAGTGAGAATCCTTTAAACAACCATCCCAGAGGTAGAATGGTAAAATAGAGTCATAGTACTGCCATGTAATCATAGATACTCTTTTTAAAAACAAGATAACTCTCAGTGTGCTACCAGGATAGGCAGATTGTTCAGGTCTAAAAAGCAAATGGGAGAGCAGTGTATATAACCCCATCTATTCCTGTTGGCAGAAGTCCTCTTGGAAGTAGGGTGATTCTGTGGAAGATGCAGGGAGGTAGTAAGACGGGTAGAAGGAGAACAGAGACTTTGGAGCAGGTGCCGTGGGGCCCAGACTCGATAAACTGGCTAACCTGCATGAGGACCCACCGTGTACAGTGGAAATAGTCCCTGCGCTTATGTCATTTTCACCAGTGGAATTTGAAGTAATTAGATTAACTTCAAGTTGGATATATATAGATAGGCAAGTTGAGAGTGAATTCAAGGTGCTGGAAGAAACTCATTAGCGCCTAGGATGGAGGGAAGGGAAAAGTGGAAAGTGGGTAACTATGCGAGGAAACTAAAGAGCCCTCGAGGTGAGGGGCCAGGTGAGGGGGGAAGAGTCAGAGGGAAGTCTTAGTACCTGTGAATAAAAGGAGTGGGTAACCATAGTGAGTATTTGACTGAGCACATACTGTGTGCATTTCCTGTGGCATTCACCTAACCTTCACAAATCTACGAGATGTATATGTTAAACTTTCATTTTTCAGAAGAGGAAGCTGAGGCAGTGACAGCAAGTAATCCAGGTTACAAAACTAGCAAATGGCAGAAGTAGGACTTGAAGCATATGCTACATAGGAAGCTATGGTCCTGGGGAGGAATTTCATAGGTTGGGCCACTCTGCAGGATTGGTGTGGCTCTGGGAATGTGCTGCTAATGCAGAATAAAGATGGGCCATGGTGGTTAAGGCTGCTGGATCCTATGTAGCTAAGGGGCAGTTTGAGTCCTGGACTTGGCAGCTTGAAAAACATGCTCTTTGTTTAAAAAAAAGAATTCTTTAAATTGGAGCATAAACTTTTCTCCTTTCCTGACCCCTTTGCAATTGGAAATATTTGTGAACATTCTTATTTTGTGGCAGAATGGTTGTTTGGAAAAGTACAAAAATACAATAGTATCTGTTGCCTTGCATCAGAAATTGAATTCTTAGGGGATTTGTGCAAATAACAGACCAAACTGAGATTAACCTGATTTTTTTTCTTTTTTTGCAAATAAGTTGGTTTATACCTCTCTTTAGTAAAAAGGGAGCATAGAGAGAGAAAACAATGTTTTGGAAAAAAAATTACAGTGCATTTGTCACTAGATTCTAGCTTTGTCCATACTTTAAGATCTTTTATGAATTGATAAAATGTGAAAAAAAAGTTTAGTATGGAAAGGAGGAAGGGGAAAGAGGAAGGGTAAAAGTATGCTTAACTGACAAAACACGAGAAGCTATTTTCTGATGATAATGTATACAGTAATATCTTTGTCTTGACTGACGTGCCGGGTATTTGTGTTGAAAAAAGAAATGTATACTATAAAGACATGTGATAAAATGTAAAAAGTTAATTAATTAATTAAAAATAATTAAAAACAAAAACATGCTGGGGTCAGCAGGTGGCATGGCGGTTAAAGTGCTGGACTCCCACATCACCAACCACAGTTTGAGTCCCTTACTTGGTGTCTTGCTTTCTCACTTTCTCTTTCTCTCTCTCTGTTGACTATAGAAAAACTATATATATACATATATATATATATATATATGTATGTATATATACACACACATATATATATTTCTTAAAAAAATAAAAAAAGGAAAAAAACAAAAATGCCAGGCGTGTGTGTGTGTGTGTGCGCACACGCGCAAAATCCTATGTGTAGAATGGAGTAGAAGGGATTGTAGTGTGGCCATCTCCCTGGGGGTAATTTCTCACTTTCCTTCTCTCTCTCTCTCTCTCTCTGGTAAGTATATGTGCCCTATATCAAAGTAAAAAGAAAAAACAAAACGTAGTTTCAGTTAAGTCAAGTAGAAGTGCTACAAGACAGAGTAGTTGGAAGGATTATCAAGGTAGAGCTTGGAGTAAGTCACCCAAGGAATTGTCAAGAAATAAGGTAGGGAAGAAAATTCTGAGTTGGTTGAAATCGGTGATAAAGATGGCAAGGGGTGTAGATGATTTTGGCATGATTTAGTTTGTGCAAGAGAAGGGAATATTAAGAGATTTTAAATGGCTCCTTCGTACAAGTAGCTGTCAGCTGAATTAACAATAAATGGTAGCAAATGCTAATTGAGTTCAGAAATGTTGCTCAGAGTTGGATTGTCACTGGATCTGGCACCGGTAAAGTCACCCGACTCCTGGCTAGTGCCTCTTTGTCACTTCTCAGGGACAGAGAAAGATCTCTGCCCTCCTGGCTTTTTTGGATCAAGTTATTAGATATCATTTTTTGGCTTCAGTTTGTATTACTTAGTACCATACTTAGTACCCAGACAAGTGAGTTTGGTAGGAATAAAGAGAAGAGGAAGGGGCCAGCAGGTGGCATGGTTAAGGTGCTGGACTCGCACATGGCCAACCTCAGTTTGAACCTGGGACCTGGCGGCTTGCTTTTTCACCCCCACCCTCAACCCCCCCACACCTCTGCTGTGAGCATGTGTGCCCTGAAGCAAATATTTAAGTAGGTAATAAATAAATAAATAAATTCTTGATTTTTTTTTTTTTTGAGAGGTTTTTGCTATACGGCGCATGCACTCGCCAGATAGACAGTGAGACAGACAGAAAGCGAGAAATCACCCCCCGGGGGGGATGGCCATGCTGCAATCCCTTCTCCTCCATTCTCCTCTCAGGATCTTGGGCACACATGCACACGTGCCCTACGTGAGTTTAAGCCTCCAGGTCTGGGACTTGAATTGCGGTTGACTACATGGGAGTCCAGCGACATAGCCATTACACTGACTACTGGTCCTAAATAAATTCTTTTAAAAAGAAAAAAAAAACTGAAATTATTGTTTTGTTTTTATTATGGTTGGCTCCCCCACTTCACCCACTATGAAATATACCCGTATCGGGGATAAGTAAACAGGCATAGTTCCATCTGAAAAACGGCTTTACTAGGCCATAGTGAGTTTCACCTGCTGAGTATGACCCCACACAGAAGAGGTTCCAGCTTCTTCTTCTTCCAAACTATTTTTCTCTTGTGAAAAAAACCTGG